CATCTCTGGTTTACGATCTTAATAGTTGGCCAGTCCACTATAGAAGAAAAGTTACCTCAATCGAAACAATAAGTAAACCCAGAAACTAATTTACTCAGTTTGCAAAAAGCAAATTTCATCATTTTCAATACGATCGTGACAACATAGGTCAATGTAAAGCCAGTAAAATTAACAATGGTATTGTCAAACATACTTTTAAGATAAAGAAAAATACTTAAGAAAATGTGAACCAGCTAGAACAGCTTATTTACCAAAACGGAAAGGTTTCAATAAAATCTGCTAAATTGAATGACTTAAGAAAGTGTATTAAGTATATCTCACGTGATCATGTTGACCTTTGTAATGAGCTACTGCAATGACCTACAGCAGAAAGCAACAATGGCGAAGCAGAAGATATTAAGAAAAATGATTGAGCATAGCTCATAAAATTTCTGCAACAGACTTTTTCTTTATATTTTTTGTTTAAATTTATAAACATTTCATAAATATACACTTTGTGAAGATTTATTGCAGTTTATGGTATCATTTTTTATAGCCCAAAATTAAAATCATAATAAAATAAGCAGTAATTATTTGTTAAGTGTAAAAAGGGGTCAAGTACACAGCGTTATCTAGTTTATAGGTTCTTTAAAAGTAAATATAAAAAGTATATATGCTTGCTTTTAAGGTAAAAAACACCTCTTTCAAAAAAAAATTATTAAACCATTAATAAAAATTTACTGAAGTGAAATGCATTTTTTTAGTTTTCCGAAAGTTTATATTATTGGACTTGCGCACTTTTAACATTTACCAATTTAATTATCGGGGTTTATTTTTATGCATAAAACAATTAGTTTAGTTTCGGATTTTTATATCAGACAATTGTATACGTTTGCATTTTTTAAACACATAAAAATTTAAAATGAAATTATAATCCAACACCTGTACCATAAAATTATAATCCAACACCTGTGCCATAAAATTTGAGATAAGCTTTAATTAGCATTAATTAGTAAGTTTGAAAAGATAACATTTTTGGTATCAAATTAAAACTCTATATTTTTTCTATCAAGAAGTATATAAATTGTCTAATAATTTTTTGTTTAGATAACAAATTAAAATGACAAACCAATAAATTCTAAAAGTTTGTAAGTACAATTTTTATGGAAAAAAGCATGAGGATGAAAAACACGTCGTTTGGAACCATTTCAAGATGCAAGGCTACTCAAAAGCTACAACTTATAGATATATGAATGGTTAGAAAATAATCAAAATTTGACAACAGACATTGTTAAGTATTATGACGTATCAAAGTTTGAAAAAATTTACTTGTTTGGGTGGCAATCCCCAAGAGGGGTCACACTAGTTTACATTGTTTCTTCTGACCAACAATAAATCAAGAAATCCATCTAAAAAAGTATTTAAAAAAAAATATTGTTGAGAAAACAAGATCATCTTTTGACAACATTTCACGTTTCACATTTCACTATCATAATTCAGTAACAAATTGGCTGAAAACCTAGAAGATACCATTTGTTCAGAAATAGGCTAATCCAGCAAACTTGCCAGAAGCTCATGCTAGAGAGGATTTTTGGACATTTTTCAAAACACGATTATTCCAGAATGGCTAACTGCAGTTAGTTCATCCTCTACCTCATATATCAAAAAATAATATTGCAAAGTACCGAGTTGTTTCAGTACTGAAACAACTCGGTACTTCGCAATATTATTTTCTGATTTATGAGGTAGACTAAGATCATTATATAAAACTAAGATCATTATATAAAAACAAAACTATTTCTTTTAAATCCCAAAAAACTGAAAATTGAATTTTCTAGGGGGGTAAAGTTCAAAAAGATTTAGCAAAAATATATAAATATTCATTCAATTATCAAGATTCTAGTTCATTCTCTCTCTCTCTCTCTCTCTCTCTCTCTCTCTCTCTCTCTATATATATATATATATATATATATATATATATATATATATATATATATATATATATATATATATATATATATATATATATATATATATATATATATATATTGAACAATTGGGGAAAATTTGGAGATCTAGGCATTTTTTATTGTTGAGATAACGTGTTTTGAGTTCATATGTTAAAATCTTTATTTTTAGATAAAAGGAAAATAAGTAAAAAAAGTTTTAAAAATATCCTTTTCTGTAGATATATTTGGATAACTGATCTTGATCTTTATCGATCCAACCTTTCCTAATTCCTCTCAACTCTTTTATTCTTTTTTTTTTTGTGGTTGTCTTTTTTTTTACCATATTTTCTAACCGCTTTTTGTCTTTTTTTTACTGAACTGGTTATTGTATTTTTTCCAAAGTCTAGATTTAAATGTTTAAATACACAATAAATACCAAATGAACCTTCATTGAAAGAAAGAACTGCAGAGTTTACTCCCATTTCAAGATCATCTGTCTTTAAATAAACATTTTAAAGACATCGGGACCAGATGATATTATTTAGTCCTTCATTACAATTTTGAGTTAGCCCAAGAAGACATTTTTTCAATACATTGTTGTTACTTAATTCATCAAAGTCTTTCTTGAAAATTTCATAAATCCATTCAGTCAAGTTTACTTTAGGAGAATATTTTTCATCTGCATCTGTATTTTTACTTTTTTTTGAAGTATTGTTACATGGAGTTATGAGTAATGTTATTATAGAGTTTTTGTTTTGTTATTTTTTATTTTAATTTGTTTTATTACAGTTTTATTATTGAGTACTAATTGAGTTACCTTGAGTTAAGTTGAAGTATTCTTATAATTACCCATTGTGTATTTAATTTATTAACCTAAAATAAATATTTCAGGTAAACATTTTATCCACACAACTTGTGCCACCTTAAATCAGGTGTTTTTTTTATGATATAGAACACATTAAGGTGGGATCCTGGAATTAATTCTATTTTGTAATATTTTACTTGTAATATATACATATTTTTTTAATGAATTACTAACATATCAAAGATAAAATTGAAAAATATTTTTTTTTTTTGCTGACCCAATAAAAAAAAAAGAAAAAGTTCATGCTACTAGAACTTAAGATTACATAACCATTGAAAGTAGAATATTTTGCACAATGTTAGTGTTGTAGCGGAGCTAGTAACTGAACCTATACTTAGAAAAAAAACACCTGATTTAAGGTGGCACAAGTTGTGTGGATAAAATGTTTACCTGAAATATTTATTTTAGGTTAATAAATTAAATACACAATGGGTAATTATAAGAATACTTCAACTTAACTCAAGGTAACTCAATTAGTACTCAATAATAAAACTGTAATAAAACAAATTAAAATAAAAAATAACAAAACAAAAACTCTATAATAACATTACTCATAACTCCATGTAACAATACTTCAAAAAAAAGTAAAAATACAGATGCAGATGAAAAATATTCTCCTAAAGTAAACTTGACTGAATGGATTTATGAAATTTTCAAGAAAGACTTTGATGAATTAAGTAACAACAATGTATTGAAAAAATGTCTTCTTGGGCTAACTCAAAATTGTAATGAAGGACTAAATAATATCATCTGGTCCCGATGTCTTTAAAATGTTTATTTAAAGACAGATGATCTTGAAATGGGAGTAAACTCTGCAGTTCTTTCTTTCAATGAAGGTTCATTTGGTATTTATTGTGTATTTAAACATTTAAATCTAGACTTTGGAAAAAATACAATAACCAGTTCAGTAAAAAAAAGACAAAAAGCGGTTAGAAAATATGGTAAAAAAAAAGACAACCACAAAAAAAAAAAGAATAAAAGAGTTGAGAGGAATTAGGAAAGGTTGGATCGATAAAGATCAAGATCAGTTATCCAAATATATCTACAGAAAAGGATATTTTTAAAACTTTTTTTACTTATTTTCCTTTTATCTAAAAATAAAGATTTTAACATATGAACTCAAAACACGTTATCTCAACAATAAAAAATGCCTAGATCTCCAAATTTTCCCCAATTGTTCAATATATATATATATATATATATATATATATATATATATATATATATATATATATATATATATAGAGAGAGAGAGAGAGAGAGAGAGAATGAACTAGAATCTTGATAATTGAATGAATATTTATCGATTGCTAAATCTTTTTGAACTTTACCCCCCTAGAAAATTCAATTTTCAGTTTTTCAAAATTTATAAAGATCTAAAACGGCAGACTTAATAGTATAAAAACATTTTTAGCAATAAAAAAAATAGGTTTAAGGCTTATTATAGTCCAAGTTTAAATAGGTATACTTTTTATGTTAGATTAAGTCACTATAAATAAGAATAATGAACATATCCTGATAATTTAAAGCTAAAAGAATGATTTTTTATTAAGATATTAATGTTTTCCTACAACTGCTTAAAGAATAAAATGAAATTAAGAGAAATCAACTTTAAAATTAAAAACCATGAAATATATCATTAAAACCACCAGTACAAAGACGTTATTTTATCGTTTTTGAAAAGTTTAAGATAAATTTAATTTAGTCGCATTCATTTAATTTGGTTGTATTATAATAAATTGAATTGTTTACAGAGCTTTGTTTGTACTAAAAAATTCAAATGTTACTTTTTAGTGCTAAAGTATAACAGCTTTGTATAAACTATTCAAAATAAAATGTGACAAAAAAAAAAAAAAATTATAATATTTAATAAAATATAATAGAAGTAATTAAAATTGAAGTAGTTTATTCCTTTACAGTTGTTATATTAATAATAAATTATGCTTTACATCTTTAAAAACCTCACAAGATTAATTTGTGAGGTTTTAAAAGATTAAAAAAAAAAATCTATATTTCTATTATTATCAAATAAGCGACGCCGTTAAAAATAAATACGCGACGCCGTTTATACAATGCGGTCTTTTCATAAGTTTTTTAAGCTTAATTAAAATTGTCAATATAAATTGGGAATGGTAAAAATTATGAAGTTAATGTCAAATTATAAATTACAAAAAAAAAAAAAAAGAAAAAAAAAAAAAAAAGAAAAATTAATAAATTATTAATTTCAAATCTCATTAATACAAAGATGTAAAATGTTTTTGAAACAATCATTCTGAATATAGCAATTTTGATTAATTTAATCTCCACCTAATCGGTTTCCACCTCCTGGAAACACGGGACCACCACCTCGACCACCACCGTCATTTCTACGCGCAGCAGGTGCTTGTCCGAACCCAGCAACCCCACCTCGTCGATTAGGCAAATACTTGTAACTAAAACAAACAAAAGAGATGCAACGAAGACAAATAGTTTCAGTGAAAAAACAACAAAAAAAACAAAAACAAACAACATTCTTAAATATTTTGCATTAAGTCTGTCTTCAAATTAAAATATAAGAAAATGATGTAAGCATAGAAATATACCTTTTTTTGATATTATTATAATTGATATAAAATATAGAAAACTTATTATTAAAGTGTAAGTTTAGTGTCGACGCTTTCGTACTGCATTCTTATTTTTGTTCAAAACAAAAACTTTTTGATTTCTCACTTAACAGTTAAAGTTAAATAATTATTTAAAATGGTAATAAAATATTTACTAACACATTCTTTTTATATCACGTGCTTTCGATCGTTCTTTGAAATTGAGGTCTATTAAATTAACTGACGCTTCGAATGGAGGTAATAATTGGATGCGGAGCCGCAATTGCCTGTCATTGATCTAGCGCTTACTTTATTAAAAAAAAAAAACTTGACAATTTTGTTTCTAGATGGCTTTTAAAATAATGTTACTTACAAAATCGAGGGTGTTGTGATTAATCTTCTTCCACCAAAGTCTTGTGGGTATTTAAACATAAGAAAAAAATACAAATGTCCAACAAAGATTCCAATGATTTCCATAAGACCTCTGAGTGTAAAAGCATCCGTCAACATTGTAAAATCAAATTATTATCAGTATGTTCAAATAGTAAAAATTGAATACAATAATAGTTTTTATTAGTTGCAATTTTTTATATTTAATAGTTGTAATTTTTTACCCTTGACCAAGAATCATATTAAATGCAGCCAAAACCCAAGGCAAATACATAGCCTAAATATATCAAACAAAAGGAATTATAAATTATTTGGAATCATAATACAGGCAACTTAATTATAACCTTTGCGTCCAAACTTAATTTTAAAGTAAAAAAAGAAAATCAACCTTAAATTGTGTTCCAAACCAAAACGAAACAATTGTATCTTTATTAATTTGGCACCATATATACAAAACACTTAAAATTAGTGGATCCATCAAAAGCTAAAAGAAAAAAAGACATACTTTTAAAGCTCTTTAGAAAAGTACAATAAAAACAATGAATGATGCTCTTTTTTTGCATTCTCAAAATGCTCATAAAACTCTGCACGAGAAAAATCTACCACTTTTGAAAATCAAATAAAGTAGTTGTCTGGAGTAGGGTGTGCAACATGGTGCAATGATTAAACACTCTACAGCTCATGCAATGAGCAAATAATGTACTCTTTTAGCCACACCCTGAGGGAAATTTTTATGTTAATATTTTGTTTATTTTTTAAATTTATATTTATTGTGTGTATGCCACAACAATTTTATTGTAAAATTAGGTTTTTTTATGATGTCATACTAAAAGATGATGTCATACTAAAATGCTTATAGGTGAGGTTCTTTGAGTGATAGTCATGAGATACAACAAAAATAATTTTGTCTATTACATAATTCTACTTTTTCTATAAAAAGTGTCGATATTTAAAAAAACAAACAGTGAGTAAACATTTTAGTACTCACCCAAACTCAATACACAGGTATAAGTGTATACCTACACATATTTAGGTAACAAAATGCAGCCCTAGCATATAATACTTTGTCTGCTTTAACAAGCCCGGGCCTTGATAGTCAAATAGCCAGCAGTAATTAGGCTGGTCTAAAATGCCTTTTTCTGAAGTTAAAAACTGCTTTTAAAGGAATGCAGAAAATAATAAGAAAAATATTTAATGGTGGCAATCTAAAGAATTCAAAAGCTCAAGTTTTCACTTATTTCAAAATAATTCTACCTCAAAATAGCTAAAAAAAAAAAAGAAAAAAGAAGTTCTAGAGAATATACTTGTAAAACTGTGACAGAAATGCTGTCTGGATTACAAGCTGTAAAAAAGTCTAAATAAGAAATAACTTTAGAAATGGATGCGAAGGTGATTTGGATATCTAATAAGGAAACCTAATTATCCGAGAGAAACTTGAGTCACTGTGATCACAGGAAAAGTGTGGTTATTAGATTCAAAAGTAAAATTAGAAAAGTCCTTTGGAAATAGCTCTGTCTTATCCTTGTAAATCTAATAAGACAAGTTCCATGTATATGAGACGAAATGTTAAATTTGTCTTTGTTGATGAAAGTGTTAATAGTTTCCTGAATGTCTCAAAAACCTAAATGAGATAAAATACAAAACTTAGTGAGAAGAATGTATCCTAGAGTTAAACCATATGAACCTTGCTTTGATTTCTAATACGTTTCTTCATGAGAGAGTTGTTCACATTTTTTTACAAGAGAGTTATTCACGTTTCTTCATATGTGTGAAAATTATTTACAAAACTATTACGATTCAAAATTGCAACTGAAAAAAAAAGCAAAAAACTATGAAGAGTGAGATTTGACTTAGAGCCAACAAGAAGAAATAAAAGCTTCTATGCCTACCTGAGCCCAGGAGATTATGAAGAAGCACAATATTTAACAAAAAACAAAAGATATTTGCCCAAGGACCAACACAAATTTTTTTTAAAAAGAACGTCAGTCAAAGTTTCTTTTTTTTTTAAAATTTTTTCATTTCCAACAAGGGAACCACTATTAACTTAGAAGTTACAAGAAAACAAAGAATTAAGTTAAAGAGCAAGGAAACAGTTTATAGAAGACTTGAAAGGTTGGAGGTTTGGAGAGTTTGGCTGGAGTAATTTATGCAATCGATTGCAAAGTAAACAACCTTAGCAAATGCTAATTTTGCAATCAATTGCATGGACAGTTTTCATGAGAGGTCAATAGTGAATTATAATCTAAGAAGATGTAAAGAAGAGAACTCAGTATGAGGGTTGTCATTTATTAATATAGGAATATCGACAGTATTGCAATAGTTGTTTGCAATAACTGAATTTTGTTGGAGTTAAATTTCAGAAGCCACTGCAAGCCCCAAGCTGTAACAGAAGTGAGATCAGATCCGAGATTGGCTGCCTGTTCTAACGGGTTATGCATAAGTCTTCAAACTTTTTTTATAGAGTTGTAAAAAAATATTGTTAGTTAGATAAAAAAATGAAACTATATGGTAATAAAGAACATTCATTCTAGTATTTATTAATATATTTAACATATTGAATAGATGCCTCTATCAGCGATTTTCTAAGTTTTGTTTTAACACTCATCATTAGTCTTTGTAACAGATCTGTATCATTTTCTTTTATTTCATTTAATTTGCTCTTTATTCTTCGAACTAGTTGATATATGCTACGTGCTCTCTAACCATCACTGTATACCATCTGACTTAAAATAGCCAAAAATGTTTCAATTGGTCTAGCCTGTGGAACATTTGGTGGATTAGTGCATTTTTGTACAAATTCTATGGAATTATCAATAAACCAATTTTCTGTTTTATTAGCATAATGAGCAGTTGCAAGATCTGGCCAAAACACAAAATTATTATCTTTATGATGTTCTCTAACAAATGGTATAAGTCTTTTCTTCATACATTCTTTCACATATATATTGGATGTTATTGAATTCTTTGATCTATGTAAATAAGGTTCACAAAATCCATTTGAAGAAATGCAAATCCAAACCAATACCTTTTCTTCAATTTTTTTTTTCAACTTATATTTTACATTATCAGGGGCTAACAATTTATTATTTGTATAATACATATCATTTCCAGGTATATTTGAGTTTGATAGATTAAAATATTTTTCGTCATCCATGATTATATCTTTTTCATGGAATACTTTATTAACTAATCTTCTTGATGATGTTGCTGCTCTCTGTTATTGATCTTTTTCATACAAAGGTGCTTTTTGTTTTTTGTAGCATTTAATATCTGTTTTGAAACTATTAGTTCTTGAAATTGTGCTTTGGTTCACCTTAAAATATGAAGCTAAATACTTTTGATTAATACCAGTTGAATTATTTAGCAGTTTAGTCAATCGTTTGACTTTTTTCTATCCATTTTTGGAGGACAACCTGATCTAACCAAATCATTATACACACCATACTTATCATACCTTGCAAGAATACTAAATATAGTTGACTTTGGTATTCCTTCATTTTTAAAATGTTTATATGTTAATTTCTTTTTATCACTCAAACGATTTTCATAGAACGTTACAATTCATTTTGCGAGGGCTACTCAATCAAACCTTGTCATTATTTTTGTATAGAAGTCTAGATAAAAATTAAAAGTGATTTAAATACATTAATGTTTGATCTTCAAAATAAACAATAAGTTGAAGGTTGAAAAATTGCTCTCCTTATTTAAATCAGTTTCAAAAAAAGTTCGAAGACTTATGCATAACCCGTTAAGCAATTAAAAATGAAAAACTTCGCCAAGACAGGAGTATAAAGTTGAGTCGTCAGCAAATAGAGCCACTTTAGATGTAAGAATGTCAGGAAGATCATAAGTGTATATAAGGATCAATACTAAAGATAGTACCTTAGGGTAGCCCAGAAGTTACGGAAAATGAAGAAAGCGATAGCCTTCAATGATGACTTAAATAAAACGATTAAAAAGAAATGATTTGATTATCTCAAAAAATTTTCACAGATAAACCATATGAAGCAAGTTTATAGAGAAGACCAGCATGCCAAAACTTATTGAAAGATTTAGATATGTCAAGAGCAATAGCTTTTGCCTCGCCGCCTCCATCTAATACACAATAGAACGTTTCAGTCACAACAGTTAGCAAGTCAGCAGTAGAGCAAGAAAAATGTGAACCATTTTAGTTGTCAGTAAGTTAGTAGGCCCAAAATGGGATATTAGAAATTTGTTGATAAAAGACTCAAAGACTTTGCTAATGTTAAGGCAGTCTTAAGAAGTACAATGATAGGTCTACAATGAGAAGGTCATTTATATACAAAAAGTTATGAGTTTGATCCGCACCAGTTCCTGGTAGTAAAATGCTCTACTTGTTCCTCTACACAAAAGCTTTGTTTTGCTTTGAAGTTTTTCTTTTCTTTTTTTTCTTTTTTTTTTTTGTTATTCACCTTCTCAAGGCCGAGAAGACCACTACAGACAAGGAGGCTACTTAATAGTGGTTATAACCCTCTCTCAACTCTATAACTCCGAAACACGAACCTTGACGAACAAGGCCGCTGCGCGGAGAAACAAGTTGCTTTGTTTGTCATGACTTTTGCTTCATAGTTTAACAAGAATATTGGCTGATGAATAAAGAATATGGGCTTAATCAATTTGATCAGAAATAAAACTAAAAATTTTTATAACACTAATCAATAAAAGAGTATTTTGAAAAAGATTAATGATAGATTTTTTATAAACTTAACAGCCACCAACAAGCAGCAATAAAGATTGCTTTAGCCATTCTTATTACAAGACTGCTTAATTATCTGTAATGACTATATATTTAAACTATAAAAGCAAACAAAAGTAACAAAAAAAAAATTCTACTAAACTTAGTAAAGATAAAAATTAAAAAATATAATTTAAAAAGTCCAAGATCAAAATTTCTTCAGACAACAAAAGAACCATTACTATTAACTATAAAAAAATTATTTATTATCATATAGCGATATTAATTATCAATATATCAACAATATTATAAAAATTATTAACCTTGATTTAATATGTAACAGCTAGAAATAGAAATCTTCTTTTAATTTATCAAAATTTCAATTGTTTTCTGAGACTTGAAAATAAATACAAGAGGTAAAATATTTAAGATTTTTTTATTTTATTCAAACTTAATAATTGGTTGATCAATTTAGTAAGCAAACTTGTAATAAAGTACTTTAATAACATTTCTAAAACAAAAAAAGAAGTGCATAGTAGGTCATAGTTCTTTCAATAAATTAGACTAGTAGGCCAAAGTAGAAGCCATTTTCAAAACTTCATTTGTATATAAGATTACTTAGGTAGGCTTATGTTATAAAATTGACTCATTAAGTATAGGCTCTTTATTGGTTTTCTCAGTATTGGGTAAGCTGGTCATTAATACAAAATGTTCTGTTCAAAAAATAATATAGCTACTGAGTTAATTATAGACATATTTCTATTACAAATAAATTGTGTGGACACGTATTGTTCTAAAGAAAAAACTTTAGGAACTAAAAATAATATCAAAATAAAAAAATAAATAAAAACTATTTAATATCATAATAAATAAAAACAACTAAACATAAGAACCTACCATTAAATTCAAAGCAAATCCAAGAAGCTTATTTTTTATTAAGAAAAAAAAAAGGTAAATAAGAAAAATCGTTTTAAAATTATAAAAAAATACTACTTATATAAATTTTTTATACTTTATATTATTATATAAACGGCATTAGAGCAAACTAGCGTTAGTGCAAATTGTCATAAGTGTGTTAAAAGAATATGCTAACATTCATTATATTATCAATTTTACACAATATTTATATTGGTATGTATTAATAAATTTAAACCATATGAACTTAAATCATCTTATTTTACCTGAAAAAATTGAATTTACATATATTTCCAGAAAGCATACAATGCCAATTCAAACCAAGTTAAATAGTTCTCTTTTGTAAATTGATCAAATTAAAAAAAACTAAAACATTAATAAAAATTGTCTAGTCTATAAAATCTTATAATAGACATCAGAAGTATTTTAAATAAAATATTTTTGTATTTTTCTTATATTTGCAAACACAATATATATATATATATATATATATATATATATATATATATATATATATATATATATATATACACACAAATAGTATTGCGTACTAAGGTAAGCAATCTGATGTCATACTGAAATAGCCTGCTGCTGGGGGCTTCAGTACATACATCGACTGACAAATAGCAGTGGAGTGCTGCTACATTGACTGAGGGTTTGGGATGGGGCAGCAATCGTTTCATTTATCATTCTTCATTTTTCTTTTTAAGGTAAGCAAAAAAAGCGAGCAAATGCTTATAAAAATACGCTTTAGTAAGTGTGTGTGTGTGTGTGTGTGTGTGTGTGTGTGTGTGTGTGTGTGTGTGTGTGTGTGTGTGTGTGTGTGTGTGTGTGTGTGTGTGTGTGTGTGTGTGTGTGTGTGTGTGTGTGTATATATATATATATATATATATATATATATATATATATATATATATATATATATATATATATATATATATATATATATATATATATATATATTAGAGATGTCACAAATGTTCGGTGATTATTCGATAATCTGCTACTTTTTTTACTATTTAGTATTTGGTAAACTATTCTGCCAAATACCAATACAAGATTGAAAGAAAAAAAAAGCACTGCACCTGCAAATTATAAGAAAAACTTAGCAAGTTCTATTAGGATGATGTTTTATGTTCGCTGACTACAACTTGTAAGCAAATAGTTTCATGTAAAAGCTCATTTCATTTGCAATTTGACTTTTCTATTCCAGATCTTCAATCTTCTCTGTTTGGCGAACGCTTTGGCCCTCTTGCAGCCAACACTTTGGTCAGTGCTTTTTTTAGCGTTTGCCAATAATTTTTAAGCGTGTTTTTAAATTGCAACAAATCTTTTTTCTTAATCAAATTTTAATCAAAGAGGTACAGAAAACAAATATTTTTTAAAATTGCACATACCAGATAAATAATTACAGTCCGGTCAGCGCTTTTTCCTGTGCTGGCAGTAAATTTAAAACAGAAGATTGCATCTTCATATGTGCGCATAATTTTGTAGAAATTGGTTTGATCGCTATTATTTATATTTCTTTTTCTTACGAAGTAGAGATAAATTATCACTGGTGCTACTAGACATTGGAGATGGTTAATTTGTATCAATCAGCCTTTAACTGAGAATAATTAACCTTTTATTGAATTAATCTTTCATAGAGCATTAAAAATTTTTGTTTTGTTTTGCTTGCTGTGTTTTAACTAATCCATTGAAATTTGTTTTTGGATGTGCTTTAATAATCGAATAAGTGCGAATTTCATAAGTGCAAACTGGAATAAGTGCGAACAACAAAACTGGCATAAGTGTGAACTGCCATAACTGGCCAAAAGAATTTGAAAACACTGGCATAAGTGCAAACTGTAAACAAGCATAAATGCAAACTGGCATAACTGCAAACTGTAAAGCAGTTGTAAAAACTGACATAAGTGTGATTTGGAATAAGTGCAAACTGGCAACAGTGTGCCAAAATTTTTTTAAACATTTGCATCGATGTGAATTGGCATATGTGCAAATCAGTTAAAAAAAAGTACCAACTGGCATAAGTGACATAAGTACAAACTGGCATAAGTGTACTAAAAGAATTTGAAAATATTGGCACATGCGCATATAGACATTAGTGCGAACTGGCATAAGAGTGAAGCATTTGCAAAAAATGGCATTAGAGCAAACTAGCATTAGCGCAAATTGACATAAGTGCGTTAAAAGAATGTGCTAACATTCACATAATTGCAAATTGGCAAAGGTGAAAACTTTCATAAGTGCAAAGCATAAATTACTATGTGTGAACTGGCTATGTGCACCAGAAAATTTGTAAAAACTGGCACAAATGCACCAAAAGAATTTGAAAATATTGGCATAGGATTCACACTTATGCCAATATTTGCAACTGCGTTGCGATAATGGCAATTCACACTTATGCTAGTTTGTACACATACCAATCTTTGCATATTTCGGCGCACATATGCCAATTTGGATTTATGCTAAATTCACACTTATGCCAGTTTTTCAACTGCTTTGGACTTTTACCAGTTTGCACTTACTCAGCCTTGCATTAAAAAAAGACAATTGTATAACTAACATTCCCATTAAATCATGCTTTAAGATTGTTTTAAAAATATTTTTTTTAAATAAGTTTGAAGTAGTTTTTATTATATCTATCTATAGCAAACTGTGAAATCACCTCAGAAGTATAAGACCTGGTTATTTTTTTTTTTTTGAAGAGTATGACTTTTATACATAACTAGTTATAACTATTTGATGTATAAAAACTAAGTATAATAACAAAATAACTATGTGTCAAAAATATTTGGCAGCCGAATATCCAGTGTTTCAGCTGAGCGCCTAGCCAAGTATTAGGCAAAATCACTATTCATGACATTTCTAATATATATATGTAAAAACATATATTTTATATAAAATATAAAAACAGTATTTTGCTTAAAAATCAAAATTTATAAATATTTTTTTTTACAACTCTTTATTAAATTGTAATTTAATCTATTAAACTCTTAAACTATTAGGGGTCATTCATATATTTCGCTTTAGAGGAAGGAGGGGGGTGGAGGTGTTAGTGCTTTTGTGAGGACTCACATGGAAATTGTCTAGAATGGTCAAAAATTGCGTGACGTAATTTGTGGACAATACCTTATAGTATATACTTATATTTATTTATTATATATATTTTGGAATTATTTTATATATACATATAGTATATACCTGTATATGTAATTTATATTATAACCATCATTTTATTGAAAAGATACAATTAAAGCAATGCTATTAAAAACCAACATAAAAAGGTAATCTGCTGGTTTTCCATCATATAGCCCTAAATCATAAGCATAATCCATTTTTTATATAAAAAAAGCATAGACTTAAAACTACAACAATACAAATGTGATATTATTACAATTATTAACATTATTGCTACATTAAAATTATAGACATAATGACATTAATTGTCAATTAACTTTATTGACAATATTATTATTAACATTACAACTTTAACATTATTGAAACCATTATTGCAAACATCATTGCAATTCAATTACTGCAATAAATGAACATTATTGACAAACCCATAAAAAATTTTTTTGACAAGCCTTCACAGCTATTGACCATTCGCAACTATTTATAAAGTGTTTAAGGTTTATTTATAATACAATAAATCAACAGAAGAAAAAAAACAGAATTTTTTAGAAAAAAATAAAGTTTTTAAAATTCTTATGTATATACACAGGACAAAAAAAATTTATCTCTATCTTTTTTTAGGAGAAATTTATTACCACCACTACATAAATTATGTTTGCACAAAAGCATTGTTTTTTCGTTGTCTTACACCCTGTATAATATTATGCTTATTTATTTGAAATATTGTTTAATGTATACATATATATTTGTTTTAATGTAAGTAACATTCTTTTATCCACTGAAATCAACAGGAAAAAAAGCAGAATTTTTTTTTTAATTTATAAATACTGGACAAAAAATTTATACAGAGTATTGTATAAATTTAAGACAAAAAATTTATACAGTGCTTTCAAAAAAAAAAAGGGGCAGTAAAAAGTTGAGTACATTTTCTTTTTTAAAACATTGTAAAATCCCATCCATCTTTCCTAAAGACTTTTTTTTTTTAAACAACTGGAAAATTATTTCTCTACAACTGACATGTCAATAACAAATTCTTATATAGTTTCTTTTTTTTAATAATTTACTTTTTTCAAAGTAACTTATGATGACCAGTTTATGATGACCAGTTTAGTCACATTTAAATTTAACATTTAAAGTTTTTTTAAAAAATTTGATAAGACCTAAAAGTATTGATTGAAACGAATGGTGGCAATTTCAACAAAATTTGGCGCTTGCCCACACAGTTTGTACAGTAACGCCTGCCCACACAGTTTGTACAGTAAAAGCATGGATGAAAGAAAATAAAGTTGATTCAATGTCCTGGACAGCTCGATCACCTGATTTGAACCCAATTGAATCTATTTGGGGTTGGATGGATAAAGAAACAGTTAAGATGGAAATACAATCCATGAATAGCCTAAAGCAAGAACAAAATACCATTTAGAGAAGAGTTCCAAACAAAATCTGAAACAATCTCATAAAATCGATGAAAAAAAGATGTGTTGCTTGCAAAAAAGCTTGTGGGGGATATTTTAAATACGAGCTTAGATGTTATTTTTGTTGCTTTAATATATTACAGTTTTTTATATTACAGTTTTTTATTGATACTTTTTGTTATAACGTTTGATAACGTTTTTATATACAATTTTATGTTTTAGTATGCCATCCAAGATGCAAGACTTGTTTAAAAAAGCCGAAAACTTTTTTAGTCTTTTTTAGAATATTAGTCTTACAGTCTTAATCTATTTAACTATGAATATATATTGGTATCTCATTAGTCCAATTTTTTTTTTTTACATCACACAAAGTTATTAAAATTTAAAATAAAATAAATTTTGAAAAAAATTTTTGAAACACCATTTTAAAAAATCACTAGATCTCCCTGATTTATTTCCTTTTTCAAACAATTGCTCACTTAAAAATATAAATTTAAAAAATAAAATTACATATATCAACGATAACTGATAAGTGTATTTACATATATCAACGATAACTGATAAGTGTATTTTTGTTCATCACTAATAAATAAAAAATTATTAAAAAGATTTCTCAAAATATCTAGAATATATATTGTAAACAATATAAAAAACAGTCAATGGTGCGCATGTTTTTTAAAAAAAAGCACTACATTTGAAATATGAACTAACAACAGTAATAAAATAATGATCGAGATATACAAAGAAGAAATTGAGAAGTCTGATGAGCCTTTGCTTGAAATGGAACAACAACCGGATACTTAAAGGAGTTCAAGAATAAATAATAATGGGTTCAAGTATAATATATTCTAACAACTTGAATTTTTGTAAGAAATTTTCTACATATCCTCACACACAAAACTTTTTCGACAGCACAAATGTAATTGGGTGCCACCCAAATTCAGAAATTGAGGACCTTTTTTATCTTTTATTTTTTTTTTTTTACAAATATTGCCTACAAAAAGCAATGTTTCTGCCCAATTTTCTTATGGCAGGTGCCAGCACAATGGATACTGCCGCCCGAATAATTTTCTTAAAATAGCCCCTGTATATATACACAAGACAAAACTTTAAAAAAAAGCGATGAGGTATATATACACAGATATTACTTTGAAGCAGAAAAATGATGATGTCATAAACATTTCAGTTGAAATTGATTAAAGTGGTGTTACCAGGCTTATTTCTGTTTTTGTTCTAACTCAGTATAGATCAACATAGTATAAAAAGCCTTTAATCATTTAGTAAACTTGTTTCAATGCACACACCAAAAAAAAGAATGGTGAACTTGATGCTCTTTATTTTGAACTAAGGCTGATATAACAAATTGTTTTAAAATACAGAATAGAAGTGGAGTCCTCTTTTAAACCTGTTTTATCAAAACTGACCTCAGCTCCGATCAAATATCAACCCCCCTCCCCCCCCCCCAAAAAAAAAAGGTTAAACAGTTTATGTTTTTTTTTTGTAAGTTTAAATATAAACAAAGTACACTGTCCTGCCCTATTTTTTAAAAACTAATTGTTAAAATTTTTCATTTTTTTATAAGCATTATATAAGTTATTTTAATTTAGATAAAAATAATATCTTTTAGATAATAATCACACCCACACATCCACGCACACATACATGATACTACATCCATTACCTGTTTCTAGTCTAGTAGAATAATTGTATAAAAAATATAGATTTATTAGGTAATGAAAACCATTTTGTGGACTCAAAGGCAAATAAACAAAAGATGTAAACAACCTCCAGATCTAAAAGAAAAAAAAATCGTGATCTAACAAAATAAATATATAGAAAAAATAATCTATATATTTATTTATCAACATAAATAATATCAATTATTACTTAAAAATATATTATTTATGTTCATAAATAAATGTCAAAAGAACTTAACACACTATTGAAATAATATAAGAAAAAATAAAAATACATTTGTGAAAAGAATTTACTTAAACAAGAACACTTCTTCCTTTTTCAAAACTGAAAAAAAATTTTTTTTTTTTGCTTTTTTTATTTGCATATAAATTAATCTATAAAACCTAATTTTTTTAGGGTTCTAGAAACCCAGGGGATGCAAACCCTCATTTTAAACTGGGGTTTTGTAATAAAAAAATAAAAACTACATTTTTTTATTTAATACAGATTTTTTTTTACTTTAAAATGTTTTAGTTTTAAATTTTATGCATAAGTCAATTATGAAATTATTCTTTCTCCTTGCTTCATAACATATCATGTTCCGCAGCTTCATAACATATCATGTTCCGCAGCAATTTCCCAATAATAAATTGAAAATAAATTTAATTGAAAATATTTTACACATTGTTTTTTAAAAAATTATTGGAAAGCGTCTGCAAAACATAATATTTGAACTTATGATATTTACATATTGTTAATGTGGTTCTCAATTATTAAGTGCAAGTAAAAAACGCTTATACTTTTTTAAAACTAGTTGTATTATAAGTATATATAATACAATATAATATAAGAAGTTGTTGTATTATTAAATATGTAATAAAAATAAATAAAAATGTCATTGAATACACTGTACTAAATTTTAAGAATTCTAGAAGCCAAAGGTTTTCAAACTCCGTTTTGCAATAGGGGTACCAGAATGCGTTCTCCAGAATCCTTATCAATGAGGTTTGAGAACCCTGGGGATCTAGAACTCTGAATTTAGGTTGGGGTTCTAATCCTTGCTGTTTTACATTCCTTTGAAACTAAACTTTATATTCTGCCTTTTGCTAACTATTTTACATCCCTTCAAAACAAAATTAAAATTTTTAAAATTATATTTAGTTAAAAGTCTTTAGTTAAAAATCTATACTTAAAAAAAAAAACTATATAAAATAAATTAAATTTATATAAAATAATGTTTTTTTTTTCAAAAAAAATCATTTGCAGTTAATCGCTTTTTTTTTTAAGATTTGATACTTTCAAAATAAACATCACATAAAAAATAAATTAAATATTTTAAAATAAAACTTTTACTTAACAAAAAACTGTTGGATGCATACGCAAATCACCATTTCGTACAATAAATGCAAGCTGCACAATGCTTCTTAACAAGCCTGGAACACCATTTTTTTAAATATATGTAATTAAACTTTTTATAATATTGCATTTTTTGTATTATGTGACTGAGTGCATTTATTTTTGCACAGACCTATGGAAAGAAAATTTTATTTCCAAAAAATAATAGCTTTTACAACCAATATAAAAACTAATCTTTTAGTAAATGAAAAGTATACTTAAGAGCAGGTAGTAAAAGTAATTTTTGCTGGCAATAAAGATTAAATAAATTTTTTTGAGGAAAATAACAACTCTTTGAATATACATATAAACACTGATCTAATAAATTTAATTTGCTAATTATCATTCAGGTTATATCTCAAAAATCTGGAAAACGTTTTGTGAAAAAAATCCAGAATTTTTTCACAAAATTTTTTGGATTTTTTGTGAAAAAATTCTGGATTTTTCCAGAATTTTTTCACAAAGCAACAACTTCTACTGACAGTAGCCCATACAGTTCTATCTCTTTTAGACCATTTGTTTGCCTCTTTATAAATTATCCTACCTGTATTTGCACTTAACTTTAATCTCACTTTTGTAATGAGATTACCATAGATTTATTTAAATCAATGTAATTAGTTTTCAGCTGCAAGATGGAACTAAAACAGAAACTAATAAGTTAAAAGTACATCATGAGCAAGAAGGTAAATTATTGGACTGTTTGAATGATAAAAAACCCTCAGCCACTGTATATACACTCCACTGCAACTATCCCTGGGTAGGCAGTTGATCTGTATAAACTCAATTGTATCTATCCATAAACTACCTTGTGTAACCTAGTTTCTCTTGCGTTTTTGAATGTATGTCCTGGTATTTTCTAAAAAACTAAATTTCTAAAATTTTAATTTGATACTAAATAGGATATTATACTTGGTTTCATGTTGATTCTTATTTTCATTAATGATCTTTCTAATAATATTACCTGCAAACTGTTATTAAGTAATGATACCTCCAAATACTCCAGTCTTGATCATCTTTTTAATTGCTTAAAACAGCTAGTCGATATTGATTGTGATATCTCTTGAAACAGCTTGGAGCTAACATTGCCTGGTAAAATTAAACCCTCCAAAAAATAAACTGTTCACTACCCACAGAAACTCTTTATAAAAACCATATGCTCAACCAATAGCAAAGCAACCATCTGTTAAGGTTTCCTCTTTTTATTGTACTTGCCATTTTCTAACTTCTGATCCCATACTATAAAAATACTATTGTCAAGCTGAATCTTTAAATGATTTTCTCTAATTCAAAGCAACTTCTAACTTAGAGGAAGGTGCAGCCTTCTTGGAAGTAATCTTCTTTACTACCTAGCAACTTCTTACTTGAATAGAGGTAACTGCAGCCTTATTAAAAGTACTTTTCTCAGATATAACAACAACAAAAAATCTAATTGGAAATAAACAAACTTTTTCAAATTTTAAATTATCCTTTTTTTTTTAAACAATTTAGCAATAATTTAAACTTACTTTGTTACTAAAATTAAGTAACCCTATAAATCTAATTGGCAAGTTGAAAATGGGACAAAGTTTAGCAGACCAAAAATGTTGTATTAAATTATTCATTTTAATGTCAACCTAATTTGGTAGCAAATTTCATGCTAATAATTAATCTGTATTTGCTTTAGAAACCATTTTCAAAAATGAAACCAAAACACATCAGCAAATATGAGATGCAAAGAAAACTTGTGTACAAGTTTTATCTAGTCAATAAAAGTCAATAAAAAAAGGAAAATTGTTTGATTGGCTGAAATTGATGGCTTGATTGAAGTTCAATAAAATTTTTTACAATAAAGAATGTGATGCTCTAATCAAAACCTATTATTTTTTAAAAAATATTTAAAAATGAAGAAATAATATTTCTTTAAACTAGGGTTGAAAATTTCCGGGAAATTTTGCTAAAAATTTTCGGAAATTTTTAAAAATTTTCAGTTCCAATAAACTTATAGTTATTATATAGTTTTATAAATTTTTTTTTTTTTTTTTTAATATTTATCACCGTAGTATTCGGGTATTCTTTAAATATTTCAACAGAAAATATGAAGTAGTTAAGACCCACAAGCAAAAAATCAATTTTTTCATCAAATTTTTAAAGTCAATTAAAGAATTTGCATTTAAAAAAACAACAATGAAATGCTCAAGTTATTATGTGGTACTTTTATTTATATTGCTTTTGTGAAACAACAAAAAGCAGATGTTTTCTGAGTTAACATGCCTTTTGAGCTTGTGTATAACATATTTCTAGCTTTTAGTTATCTCATTTTTTAATTTATTGATTTATAAAGTCAAAAGTGCCCTAGCACTTTTGACTTTATAAATTTTGACTTTATAAATCCTAGGTTGTAGTGAGTGACACTCTAGTCTAAAAAGCACTTTTTAAACATAGCAGTTGAATTTATGACCTTGAAATCATTAGTTCTTCATTTTTATTGCTAACTAAATTTTTAAATAGTTCAAATTTAGCAAAAAAATATTCTTTACAATTTGCCTTTCATTAATCAATAACATCTTTAAATCACGAAAAAATTGTAAAATACAGTAAATATTTAATCAAATCTACATAAAACTTTACCCATTAATTATAAAATAACATCTTTTTTTTGAAAATTTTCAAAATTTTTGCTGGAAATTTTCTCAAGTTGAAAATTTCTAGTAAATTTTCAATCCTACTTTGAACTTTTTCAAAAGAAAGAACTCATAATTTTCTTAATTCTTAAGCTTCAATATCATGCTTTAAATTTGGCTAAACTACAAGAATAATGACTTAATTGTGCCATTTAAAAGATAATTTACAAAATTTGTCAAAAAGTACATAAAATTTATTTCTATATTATCATGTTATATACTATAATCATATTGTAATCATGATTTCTATATAATCATGTAGAATTATAACCATGACTTCTTAATAACCATGTAAAACTAAGTAATAAATGACACAATAGGTATCATGTGTTGAATTTTGCAAATTATTTTTTTGTAAATTATTTTAAGTAACAAAAGCATGCATGCTTTTTATTACTTTATTTATTCATGTTTTTATTTCTTAATTTGTAACATGTTTTTATTTCTTAACTTTTATCATGTTTTTATTTAATTACTTTATTATTCATGTTTTTATTTCTTAATTTGTAACATGTTTTTATTTCTTAACTTTTATCATGTTTTTATTTAATTACTTTATTATTCATGTTTTTATTTCTTAACTTGTATCCTGTTTTTATTTTATTACTTCATGTTTTTATTTCTTAACTTTTATCATGTTTTTGGCATGCATGCTTTTATTGCTTTATCTATAATTTTGATGAAACTATTTTACGCTTTTTAGTTTTTTTTCTCTAAAAAAAAATTAAACAATTAAACTTTATATGTAAAACTTTTTTACTAAAATTTTGTTTTGGTTTTTAAATGTAATACATGCCAAAATTTTAGTTCTAGCTAAGAACATATTTGTTTATTGCTATTTGGTTATAAATCAAGATCATATTTTTCAATGATGAAATCATATGATAGAAATTAAAGCTGTCCACATAAAGTTCAAATTACTTAAAAAAAACTAAAAATACAAATATGATCTTTATAAAGTTTTAATAAAATATAATTTAATCTAGACAATTTTTTAGTAGTAAATGTAAAGCACATTTGCATTTAATACAAAATAATTTTTCTGAATTAAATTTGGAATT